AATGGGGTCTCCATCCACAAAGGGGACTAAGTTTAAATCCCAGTGAGTGGAAAAAAGTGGTGGAAATGGAAATTAAAAATAAAAGAAAAATGTAAATGACAGCTTGCCTCGACAGCTCATGTGTTGGAGGAAGACTGTGGTACCCAAGCACTAATCAACATTTACAGATGATAAATTCAATTCTTTCTTCTCTTAAGTATTTTTCATGCATAGCATAAAAATCCCATTGTCCTACACATCATCATAAATTTTACTATGATTCATTTTGTAGATTTGGCTCATGAGACCTGCTCAGAAAGACAAGTGTACCAGCCTCATGTAGAATATTGCTAATAGAGGAAGCTTTACATTATAAGCAGGAGGTATCTTTTGCCTTCTGCTCAATTTTGTTGTGAAGTTAAAATATTTCTAAAAACTAAAGTTGGGTATATTGGAGCTACTTCTGAGTTTTCTGTTTCACTGATCTCTGTGTCTGTCTCTACAACAATACCACACTGTCTTGATCATAGTCACCATATAATAAGCCTTGTAGTCATGTATGTGATTCCTCCCACTATATACATCTTTTTAAACACTGGCTTAGCTATCCTATCCAACTTTCTGTATAAGTTTCATAATAATGATATTTACATCAATCAAAATCTTGCTGTGATTTTGATAGGAATTATGATACACATATAAATCAATTTACAGAAAATTGATATTTTTACAGTATTGTCAATATAAAATAATCAACTCTGCTTTGAGAAAATAATAGTTAATTCCAAGCCATATATAAATGACCTTGTCTCAGAGACAGATTCAAGTTACCCAGAACAATATAGTTCCCTGAGGAATTTATTCAGGCTTTTATATTCATAAAACATAGTAGGTGGGGTCATCAAGAAGGCAGACTACAATGATATGGGAAAATCTCTTCCATAGGATTAAGATGTTATCTTTAACAAAGTGAGTAAATCTGTTATAGGATTCAGATGCTATCATATTCTTAGCTTTAGGGTTGGTGGAGGCCAGAGTTCTACTAAGCTAAGTATACATTCCAGAAGTTTCATCTAATAGTCACAAGAATGCTAGGCCAGATGCAGAGGTTGGTAATAAACAGCCATTAAAAAAACTAAAGGGCTGGGGTTGTAGCTCAGAGGTAGAGTGCTTGCCTAGCACAGGTGAGGAACTTGGTTTGATCCTCAGCACCACATAAAAACAAATAAATAAAATAAATGTTAAATTATTTTTAAAAAGAAACTAAAGATAGCCCAAGTTAAGCTTTGGGTCTTAATCTGCAATGTGCAATCTCTTCACAATCCATCTCTCCACAATCACCATGATCACAATGGTTTAGTCAGCCAAGATCAGTTAGCAGGCTCTCAAATACAGACGAAGCTTCCTTGGAGAACTTCAGTTCATAGTGTCTCCTCTTCTGACCCATGAACATGGTATACCTTCCCATTTATTTTGATCTGCTGATTTCTTTCATTGGAGTTTTCTACATAAAGACTTGTACATGTTCTGTTAGATTTTTATCTAAGAATTTCTCCCTCCTTTCTTTGAGATTTTAAATGGTATTGTATTTTTAATTTCAGTCTTCATGGGTTCACTAATAGTACATAAAAATACAGTTGACTTTTGTACATTGTTCTTGTGTGCCATGACCTTGCTGAACTATTTATTCATTCTAGGAGATTTTTTTTGTAGTGTCCTTGAGATTCTCAGTAGATAAAATTGTGTTATCAGCAAATAGGGACAGCTGTGTCTTCCTTTCTTCTCCATGTACCTTTAGTCTCCTTTTCTTCCGTTATTGAAGTGGTTAGAAATTCCAAGTTTACATTGCTCCAGATAGCAGGAAAAAATAGTCTTTCACTAATCAATGTGATGGTAGCCATATGTTTGTTTCTGTTTTGGATTGGTTTTGGTAGATACTACTTATCAAGTTGAGAAAGAAATGCATGTATGTGAACACACACACACATATGTATTACATTTTTGTTTCCTATGGGGTTTTATTATTAAGTAGTATTACATTTGGTCAAATATATTCCATACATCAATTAATATTATCATCTGACTTTTCTTCATTAACCTGCTAATATGGTGGATTATATGGATTAATTTTCAAACACTGAATTAGCCTTGAATTCCTGGATTAATCCTTACTTGACCACAGTTCAAAATTCTTTTTATACATTACAGAATTCTACTTGCAAATATTTCATTAAGAATTTTCATGTCTAAGATAACAAAAGGAACTAGTCATACATTTTCTTTTTTCCATATTATGTTTGTCGGGTTTGAGTATCAGGGGCTATCCTTTTAATTTCTGGATGTGTTACTAATTTTGACCCCAAAGTATTTTTCCCTCTTGGAATTATGCATCTAATAACATGAATGCATGCCAGTTCAGCAATGAAGTAAAGTTTATTCTTGACCAAGAATAGAAATAGGAGAAAAGGCTCACAGATCAGTTTCTTGGCCCATAGGAGTTTAGAAAGATATAGATATAGGGTAAGAGAAATGAAGAGAATGGGTAGGCTAATAAAGGGGGAGAATATTCATGTCTTTTCTGGGAATAAATGGAGATTTTCCAGGAACTTGAATGTCTCTTCTTTTTGCTCCTTTTATGGTTCCTTTTATTCATCATCATGGCGATTGTTAGCTATTGCAGATGGGGTTATAATGAAGTTTCCAGTGATTACTCTGGCAGCCATCTTAGATCCAATCAGTTTCAGCTACCCCTCTTGAAGGAGAACTTCTGGCCTTCAGGCTTCCTGTTCTCAAAGATAAGTAAGATTAAAGCAGTGTAGAAATTCAGTTAGGTCACCTAGGGGTACAAAATCAGGGAGGTATAACATAAGAGACTGTAAAATTGGTTGCAGTTCCTTAAATACTTGATAGAATTCTCCAATGAAACCATCTGGGCCTGAAGATTTCCATTTGGAGAGCTTTTATGTTTAATTACAAGTTCAATTTTCTTGATAGTAATAGGCTATTCAAATTATCTGCTTCAGAGTGAGCTGGGGTACTTTGTGCTTTTCAGGGAATAAGTTCCATGTAAGTTGTCATATTTACACATAGACTTACATGTAGTATTCTTCTTATTCTTCTTATTATCTCTTCAGCATCTGTATCCATATCCTCTAACCTAATATTAGTAATTTGTATTTTGTCTCCTTTTTCATCATCAGTTTAAAAGCCACTTCCTCCAAAAAGCCTTCCCAAAACTCTCCCCCTTGTCCTTCCAAAGCACATGAAAAGGTGCTCAACATCACTAATTATTAGGGAAATGCAAAAACCAAAATGATATATCACCTCACACCAATTAGAATGACTACCACCAAAAAATCAGAGAACCTAAGTGCCAGTTAGTATGTGGAGAATTTTTAATAAAATTTTTAATTTTAAAAAAAGAGTTCTATCAGATTTATTGACATCTGGTAATAACATATGGGGAAGCAAAACAATATGAACATGTGTTTTAAAACTATACTCTCAACAAAGGATTCATTAAAAAAAAAGCCTAGCTTAGCTTTCTCTGTAATTTCTTACTTCATTGATCATTCTAATTAGAGACATTTTGTGGCAAAGTAACATTATCTCCTTTTAACATCACCTAACTCAGTTGTTTTCTTGACTTTTAGAATGACTCTCTCCTGTATCATCTAATACAAGTTTCACATTCTCATCAAAACCAATAATACAGCCTTCTATCCTCATATTCACTTGCTCATGGAGCCACACCCGAATCCAGGATCTGTTTCGTAAGTATCTGAAGATGAGGTTTTGCAGATGGGCTGCACCATCACCTTCTGCACTTTCTAGCCCTGGCCACAGTACACCTTGCTAGATTTTCACCAAGACCACACATCAACCAGCAAGTTACCTCAGAAAGCTAAAAAAATGTTAACTCTTATGCACTGCTAGAGGGAATATAAAATGGTGCAACTGGTAAAGAGCTAGTCAGTCATGAATGGGTAGCAGGAAAAGGACAATGAAAGGTAACTGAAAACCAGAAGAAGCCTACCAACAGGCAAGTACCTGGAAGTGAAGGACCTGGTATGTCAAAACCTCCCCTAGCCATACTGACATCCCCTTAAGGAAAACTATTATTTCTTTTTTGTTTGTTTGTTTGTTTGTTTCAACTTGTCTCTTTATTATGAGCTAAATTTAAGAAATCACTCTTTTCTTCTGATTTTATTTCCCATTTATTAAAAGGTCTAAATAACAATTAATGTATTATGAAAATAGACTGAAAAGTATAAGAGCTGATATAAAATGGTCATAAAGGTTCCCATGGAATTCAAGTAACCAAAGAATAAATCCAGCCAAGGTACAAAGCAGAGCCCAGCCCAGCGGATGCACGATGTGCTGGTTTAATAGGGTTCTAAGAATACCATCAAATGAACACAGTAAACCACATGTGTGGTGACAAGTCATAGCCTAAGAAATATTTCCTTGGCATGATTCTTACCATTTTTTTTTTTTGGTCTGTGAGTTTCCTTCATTTAGTAACTTAGGATTCCCTTTAACATTTCAACATCAAAATAATTCATCCAAACAGGAGCCACTTTTATAGGTAAGATAAATCAGAGGATAATGTTTTGGGATAGTTTTGTTCTTGTTTACAATCAAAAAGCCTTATATGATCAGGGATTGATGGGAATGGGAATGACAAATGTACATTTCAGACTTTCATCAATAATGAGAAAATAAAGCATTGTTATAGACTTAAAACTTGTCATTAGTGCATTTAGATTTTGAAGAAAGAATCAAAATGTAAAATACCTGTACAATAATACAATGTTAATAGAAACTGGCCACATACTGAGGCCATTTTTAGTGAGTTACCATTGTTTAAATATAAGAAAAGTAACTTCTTGGTCCAAATTAGTGAAAACTTAAAAAAGATTGTCTTTAGTTAACATTATTTGAGGACAATTCTTTTTCAGACAGATTCTGATATTCAAAATCACTATAACATAATTATGGATTAACCTTTAAATCACATCCTAAAAACCTGTCAGATTTCCATTTCTCTGTGAGATATTCTCACCACTGTGTTGTTCAATTCCACGGGATAAGCTTTCTTCATTATTAATACATAGTAGGGAGGTTAACATTCATTGCTTTATCATCTTTTCGAAAAGAGACAGGCAGACTTGCTAGACTAAAGCTGACATCTTTAAAGGCACGCAACAAGAATATCCCCACATGATTGTAAAGAAGCCACTCAGAGTCCCAATGATATCATCAGCAGGCATATCTTGCCACTCCTTAAAAAGAATAGCTGAACAAGTTAGAACTGAGGTTGTAAAGAAAACGTAATATATTGGTGTTACAAGGGAAGTGTTGAATATGTCCAGGGCCCGGTTTAGGTCATTGATCTGTGTGCTCACACAGATGACGAGGCTCAGCAGCAGAATCCAGGCCAGGGGATGCCGCAGCCCACGCTTTCCAGCTAACAGTTCTTTTATGGTGATGCCCATGCCCTTTGCACAGGACACTGAAAACACCCCGATCACAGAGCAGATTGTTATGTACACAAGAATATTTGTCTGTCCGTGGCGAGGTCCCACCACAAAGATTAATATCAAGGACACAATGACCACAATTGTTGCAAATACCACGAAACCTGGATCACCTAACTTGTGTGACATTTCAATTAACATCTCAATCTCCTCTTCCTTTGGAGCATGGATGACCATAACTGTAGATCCTAGAATGCTTAGCAAACATCTAATTTTCCCATGAAGATTAAGTCTTTCATTTAGAGAGTATGAAGAAAGAATGGCACTTACGAGGACGCTGAGAGCTCCCAGTGGAGTCACTAGCGTGGCTGGTGCAAAGGCACATGCAGCGAAGTTGGCCACCTCGACTGCCCCCATTGACAGTAGTCCAGCCCACCACAACCATTCTTTAAGATATGCATGGCCACCTTGACCTGCTCTCATGGGTCCTTTTCTGGCAAGTCGCAGAAGGTCTTTTTTTTTTTTTTTCAAAATGAAACTCCCTCCTATGAAAATGCTGGAGGTCATAGCCAATGCCAAACCAATACAGAAATCATATTTTCCACGCCCTGGGCTCATTTCGTTTGTTACTTAAGAAGCTCCTGTGAATCACATTGATCACAGAACAGAGAAACTGCTGGCCCTGAAGGCAGGGGGATGCCGTCTTCACATAGGTAAGTTTAATATGGTCTCTCTTTTGAAAACCAGGGATGATTTATTCATTCTCATTTTCTTGTAAATACTACCCTTTATTTCCACCTCCCTTATTACCAAAACTATCACAACCCCCAGTCATCCAGGCAACCAGAATATTAAGACCCTCACAAAGAAAGCTTACTGAGGACTATTCAAAGGGTAATAAACCAATTAATTAAATAGGCAGGAAATTGAGACCAAAACAGAGGGACTAAATTTCCTTATAACTCCAACTCTATAAGCACCACACCATCCTCTCTTGGGGGTAGTCCATTCAGTTCCTAGGTGTTCAGTCAAAAGTCAAAAGGTGGACATGGGCAGGACTCTCTGGAAACTTCCCTGGGTCCCCCAATGAAACTATTGGGCAGTTGGGGTATGCCATTCTTCTCTTCTCTGAAAGGACCCATTCTCTCCCTTAAGAATTTCCCCTTTTCCCTTTTCCTATCCCATCTAATAAATTCATGCCTGCTACTCTGAGCAGCATGTCTGAAATCTTTCTGGCATAATCACAAGAACCAGTGAGAAAGGATTGCTGTGACTTCCTCAGTTTCCCACCAGGACCACGCCCTGTAACGCAGTCACGGTGGAAAACAGTAAGGTAGTTACTGTTAAAAAATTTTAAAGTAGAATAACTATGGGATCCAGCCGTGCCACTTCTGGGTATGTTCCCAAAAGCAGGAACTCAAAGAGCTATCACTACCCTGCATTCATGGTAATGGCATTCTGCCTACTTTTTTGCTCAGCACCTTCTGCCAACCCACTTCCTCTTCCCTTGATACCCCAACCTATCCATGGGTTGTCTTTCTACTCATCTTAGCACAAGCATCCTCCATAACACTCCACCTTTCCTGCCTCCCACCCTAACAAAAGGCTTGGTCTCTGCCCACCCATCTGTCAGTCTCCTTGGAATGCACCCTCTTCTCAGACCCTCAAGCATCAAGCCTGTTCACATGGCCCAATCTCTATTCACTTCCCAGCAAAGCATCTCCTGAGACACCCCCTCTCTGTGCCCCGTCACTATGCCAGTGGACCTGGACTCACCACACACACCCCAACATGGCCTGGTCTCTTATCTTGGCCAAGGGATGCCCCTTTCTCCCTGTCCCCCAAGTGTCTGCATGACCTGGGCTGTCACCTCTGAGCTCAATATTCTCTGCCTTAGATAACATGTCCTCCCTCCAGTGCACACCCCTTAAAGGCCATCTGGCCTCTCCCTCTCTCTCATCTCCAATCTCCCCTGGGGTTTTTCCTTCCTCAACTCCTTCAGCATGGCCTGCCCTCTCTTCTTGACCCTCTCTAACCCTGCCTTTCCCCAACAAGTTTATGTGGCTCATTCTCTCTGCTCAACTATCACTTAAAAGATCCTTCACTAAGCCCTCTATCTCTCCCTCCAACCTTCATGATTCTAGGGGGTCTGTGCTGGTCCCCGTGCTCCATCAATCTCTGGGAAGCTCCCTTTCCTCCCACCACCCAACCCTTCAGACAGGGAGTCCCTCCTATCAACTCTGCTGAATCATCCCTGTCCTATCCACATGGCCTGTTCTCTCCCTTGATTTTCTGTCTAAGCTTCCTCAGGGCTCCTTCTTCCCTGGCCCCTCTCTTACTCCCTCCATAGAACTGGTCTCTACTCCCTTTTCTGCATTTGCTTCTCTCTAATACTCTCTGTCCATAGTCCATCCTCTCCAAGTCCATCAGCATGGTCCATCACTGCCCTAATCCTTGTTGGTTCCCTCTCTTCCTGGCAAACTCCAAACCTGTCCACACAGACCGGTCCCTCCCCTGTCCTCTCAACTCGAGCCTTTCTGGCATTCCTCTTCTGCTATGGACATCCCACCTAGGTGCAGAGAGACTCCCCAAGAGCCTAGGTGGGGCTGACAATGACAAGCCCTTTCTCCGGAAGTCCTGCTTCTGGAGCTGCCCAGGCACCATTTAAATCATGAACCTTGTTCACTGTGGTGGAGGAATTCAGTTCTACATCTTGAATTTTTACTGCCATTGCATCCTGTGTTGTTTTATTATCTGCTTTATTTAAGGACAAGTCTTAGAAAGAGAGAAAAATAAGAGGTCAAAAGCAGGAGACAACAAGTTAGATTCAAGAATATTGCCTTTTCATCCAAACAAGACACTGAAGGAGTCATCTGATGCCCTTGTCCCTATTATCATGGGAAAGCGTGTTGTGTCTCCTCAGGCATGCAGCTTGCTCTTCTCTCGTGTTGTTCCCTTAATTGCTTAAGGGACATTCTCATTTAATAATTCTTACTCTAGTGGTTTGCATATTTCTAGAAAACCACAGCTGAAATAATGAGATAAAGCAAATGGATTTCAGTTAGGGAGGGCTGGGAAATTTCTCATTCTTTGAGTCCAAGTAGAAAGGGGAGACTTCTTTTCCAAATTCACAAAAACCCAATATATTCTATAGATTTTAGAGAAAAATCAAAAGTTCTTAGGAATCTTGGGAAGTTTTATATTTAATAAAATAGATACAGTAAAACAAATAGCATTTAGATCTACTGAGGGTTTCTCCCCATGGTTGATGTACCCACCTTGTTTTTCAGATTTCTCCCCAAAAACAATGGGGAGTAGCCTGAAAAACAAGGCTTAACATCACAAATGGTGAATGTCTACTACAAATCTAAATTCCCTTTTTTAACTGTCTTCATGTACAATGAACATGTTGTTTTAAAGACCAGAACTCCTTAGGGGGGAAAAAAAGACATTTGAACAGAATTAAGAACATAACTAATGGTGAGGAAGGATATCAATGCCTTCAGTGGCCCAGTGAGGGAAGGCCCATGTTAAAAAACCATGTTGTCTATGAAAAGACCGCTTGTTTCCAGCCCCAACAAATCAGTCCACCAGCCTGAAGTACTGACCCCTGGAATAAATGCACAAGGATTCATGGCTCAGGAAGCCCCCATCCTGCGCTCTATCCTATCCAGGAAATGGAAATTTCAAAGGGCAGCCTGGTGTATCCACACAGATAGAGCTAAGCATAGAAAAGCAGATAAAAACAAGTATGAGAAAGAAGCACCTTTGCATCTGTCAGACTATGACCCTGGGTGATTGTATTGTACCTGATGAAGAACTGGTCTACCCAGGAGAAGAAGCTGTTCTCAGAAAGAAGCCCTCAGATTCAGCTAAAGGAGACCTGGGGAGAAGTTAGAAGTTAGATACTGATCTGAAGGGTTCAGAAAGAAGACTTGTCACCCAAAAGTGGAGAGAATGAGTTGTCATCTTCTGAGTGTCCTCCCAGGCACCCAAACCTCCGAAGTATCTGTTTTAGTCAGCGATTGTGCTGCTGTGACTGAAAGATCTGAACAGAACAATTGCAGAGGAGGAAAAGTTTATTTGAGCGCTCATGGTTTCAGAGGCCTTAGTCCATAGAAGGCTGGCTCCATTCCTCAGAGCTCAAGTTGAGGCTGAAAATCATGGTGGGAGAAGGTGGCAGAAGGAAGCAGCTTACACCATGGTGATCAGAAAGCAGATAGAGACTCCACTCTCGGGATACAAAATACATTCCCCTAGAGACTCCCCAAATAAAACATTTCCTCCAGCCACACCCCACCTGCCTGAGTTATCACTCAGCTAATCCTATCAGGTATTAACTTACTGATTATATTAAGGCTATAACCCAATCATTTCTCCTCTAATTTTTGCATTTTCTCACATGTGAGATCTGGGGACACACTTCATATCCAAATCGTAACAGTATCCAACAGATCAGAATGTGTGACGGGAACAGATGGAGTAGGCTCAGCCTCAAGAAGGGATGTGTCTAAGGACGACTGATAGCTCTTAAAGCCACTCTGGCCTCAAAAGAGCCAAGAGGTGAAGTCAGCCAGCACAGAGACCTCCTGGATTGTATGAGGCCAGGCAGCAGAATTGACCAGCACACCTCCAAAGACCTCGACGTCTGCAGTCACACATGCTACAGCAGCACAGCAAAGATCTCCTCCTGTAACTGTCATTATTCACAGGCAGCAAGCTGTTTCATTTCTCCCCAAACACAGAAGTAAATTGATTTTTATTGTGTGAGAGCTTGGCCTTTGTTATTGAATTTATAAACACATAAAGGGCAAATGATTATGATTCACCTCAAAATGTTGGCTCTTTTATCACACAGACACACATATAAAAAAAAAGATGCTGAAAAATACAGACATGGATTTGGACTCTGGAGCTCGCTAGTTATGACACCAGAGTTTCTATAACCTCAGTTTCCTTGACAACATTGAGTTAGTGGAAGAGTTATATGGATAAATGGAGGTTCTTATTAGTCATGTAAAAAAAAGCTATAGAGATGACACTGGTTATTCTAGTAAAATCTATAACACCAACTATATATGTTAGAATAATGATTTTTACTTCTATAAAACTTTTAAGATTTATTAAAATAGCCAAGAAATATGGAAAACACAATTTACAATTTAATATATTATGGAGTTGATGTTTACATCCCCTAAAATTGTATTGAAGCTCCAACTCCTCATGTGACCCTAACTGGAGGGAGGGCCTTTGAAGAGGTGATAAGGTTAAATGAGGTCACAGGGTGGAGCCATGACCCAATAAAATTAGTGTCCTATAGGAGGAGACCCCAGTGAAATTGTGCTATTGTGTTTTCCACCATTTGAGAATACCTGCAAGCCAAGAAGAGTCATCTACAGGAGCTGAATCTGCTGATCTCTTAATCCTGGATATCCAGCCTCCAGAGCTGTGAGTAATAAATGTCTATTGCTTAAACAGTACTATCTGTGTTTTTTTTTAATTATAGCAGGCTAAGCTGACTAATATACAGCAATCATCACCATAATTCTAATATCTGTTACTGTATACATACATATTTACAGAAGGAAGGTTGGAGGAATACAGATATAAACATGGAAATGCTGCATAAATTCTTCTAGAAGCTAGAGGGTAG